GCTGTTCATGTGCAGGTGATCTGGTCTCAAATACACCTCTGTACACCAGTCACCTCTTCAGTCTTCTCCTTGTCTCTCATTTTGCTGCTTCCTCTCCCTCGTCGTTCTGCCTCTGGCGGTTTTCCAGACGTTGTCACAGTACAGCGGGGCTGTGTTTAGTCTGGAGGCAGATATCCAGGTTCACAGTCCAGAGCATCGCAGCAGCCCTTGAAATCCTTGATGGGATTCACGCACTACAGACATAGCCAGCAAGGACCAGCATTCCCTTCCTACAAGTTAATTAGATATTAGATATGTGGTTTTACAGGTATAATAAGTCAGGTAATTGAGATATACAAAGTAAGAGATGATTTGTGTAGATGTGGCCAGATATCTCTCCCCACTATATATATACAACTATATAACTTCAATCCCCTGTTCTATGTGTCTAGAAAAATAATCCACCAACAGGTCCCAATTACAGGACTATACAGTGCTGTTGAAATATACAAAGTCTGTTGCAAAGTGGTGATCTACTGAGTCTATTTCCAGTGATTGTATTCAATCCTGCGATAACAAGTTTCAAAGGAGAGGAGGCCGTTTAGACAGCTTTGACATGATTTAATGTGTAGGTGGCTTTTTGGGGTCTCGCATCAGGATGTTAGGAAGTCTGGGAGTGAATAATGGCTGACTGAGGGCGTGAGGAACTAACCCGTCTTCCTCATCTGACTGTTCACAGTTTATTGACCAAAGAACCACTCTGAGTTTGCCGCCAGACTTGTGTGCACTCAAGCTTTCAAAACCCCATGGTGTTAAACAATTGCCCCTTCATTTAAAATTTACAAAATGATCCCCAGAACAGAAATGTAAATGATCAAAGGGCTATCTCTTGTAATATTCCCAGCAGCGAAATTAGAATTAAATCTGTAAAGTCTAAGAGTAGTTTGATAATTACATCCAATAATATAGCCTAAGTGCATTAACTAATTTTGATGCAGTTCCCTTACATTATCAGGACTTTTATAAGACTATAACTAAAAATATTGCCATGACACAATTAATTCCTTATATCATTTTGTTTATTGAAGCAATGAGATTATCATCGTAGGCTTTGAATTCTGTTTCTTTCTTCCAGCCTTGGTTTAAATAGGGCCAAAACAACTATGGCTCATTACAATCCTCTAAACTGCTTCCCTCGTGAAATAACAAAAAAAAATGTACATAAATAAATTAATTTCCCTTTTTTAGATCCTGATGGCTGAAACTGGAGAGCTGTGTGGAGCAGGGAAGCACACAGACACACACACAAAAATCTATCAATTTTAAAAAGCAACATGCTGAAGTGAGAGTAAATTGGCTGTGCTTCAGCCTGTCTCAGACACACAGCACCACAGTGTGACAGCGTGGGTCCACTGCCTCCCTTCCCTCTCTCTTCAAATCCAAAAGCCTCGGCTGCCTTCAGTGGAGTCTTACAAACAGCTGGGAACAATGTCTGGATGTGTCCCAGTAATTTAGCAGATGGCCTGTGTACTCCGCTATCTGTCACCATAGTAACATGCTCTTTTTTTATTTCTTTCTTTCTTTTTTTCCTCCGTAGTGCCAAGAGAAGGAAAATGGCAGACAAGATTCTCCCTCAGAGGGTGAGCTATTTTTTTTTTTTACGAAAAACACTAATTCTGGGGTTTCTGGTTTTAATTGTAGGGGTTCGAAAGGGGGTGGGAAGTAAGAGGGAGGACGGTGGGGGGGTTAAAGGGGGTGGGAATTGGTGGGTATTTAAATGTAATGGGTTGAGACTGGGGTTGGTGGGTTGGGAGGTTCGGGCGGTGGCGGGAGGGGGGGGTGGCGATGGTTAAGGGTCTGCTAAATGAAATCTTTAGTGGTAGACTGATGACTGCATTTTAGATTCTTAAGAGTCTGTCGTTTCAGATTCCAGGAGATGGCAGAAGGCACAGGGTGTTTTCCAAGGTATAGACATGCCTAATTTGTCCTAGCCGTAGCAAAGCCTCCTCTAAACGCTGTAGGATGTAACGCAACCTCTTTGAAAGTTGTTTGCACTGTTGAATTTCCCTTTCTTCAACGATTTCTGAGGTCGTAATTTGTCCCCGTCGGTTTTTGGCTGTAGTTGTTATAACCCTGTGTTCCTTCACTATGGGCGTTCGTATTTGCTCGCGTCTGGTTGTGCGCTGCGACCCGGAGATGGCAAGGCAAAGCCCAGTGGATTACAAAGCAAGGAGACAGGCTGTCCTGGGCTCCGTCTGTCTCTGTGGAGAGCATCGTCAACAGGCATGCAGGGAGAGGTGTCTTGAGAGATGCGCAAGGGTGTTGTGTGAAAATCCCTGGGTGTGAGCCCAGTTTAGAAACTGACACGCCACAGTAGGCAGCGGTCGGGTCTCATTTGTAGATGCGTATATGAATCTGGGCACAATGTCTGGCATTGACGGGCGGCTGCCTTTATTTTAGTGTGCAGAATGTTTTAAACCATGCAGACCACACTGAAAGGGAGGGTTTGAGGTGCTTGTACAGTATGCTGTACTTATTACTGTGTGTGACATAAGTGATGTACAGTGAAGAACAGCACTGCATTATCATCCACATAACATGTGGCAAAGTAGTTAGGGGCGTATTCTAACAATAGATGCAGCTTTGTTTTTGAATCTTCCTTGGCTACCATGCAAATTGATTTGACTGTCGATTCTTCTTCATTTTCATGCCTTAATCTTGGAGTCTGCTGTGTACAAGAATATGGCATTCTTTCTCCTGATGCGCACTGTCATGTTCTGTCTTTTAAGCAATGCTGAGTTCTTTGGGGGGAAAAAAGTGCGGTTTCACAGTGGCAGGGCTATTTCTGGCTGTTCCCAACTGCAATTCCATACTCAAAGCTGCTTCCATCAGTGTTGAAGGAAGTCCAGATGTGGAGTTAGCTCTTACTCCTTCTTTGGAAACCTGGGTAGCTCACTGAACAAGAGTATTTCACATTTCCTAATAGTCTTGACTAAAGTGAGAGTGCAAACATTATCCTGGCTTGGCTGTACAATACGTACAATACCTAGTTCAAGAGTACACACCTGAGTCTTGAACTTGCAACCCTCCAGTGCTTCCACCTCAACTTCATGTTAACTCTGTCTCCTCATAACCAAAAGAGTTCTGCCAATCCCATGTTATTATGCTTAGGATTTTAAAGTACAGAGGTCTGAGCTGGTTTAGATCCATATTCAAGTGCCCCTTTTCTTAGCTCAGAAAGTCCTGTTTGTTTTTCATGCCAGCTCATCAATGACCAATGTCAAACTTGTCAAACTTCACCAGCACAGCCCACACATGAAGACAAGAGACTGAAGTCAGTGTGTTATTATCTGATCCTACTGCCCTGTCATAAAGAGGCACAAACATAGCAGATTGAAGCAGTGTGCAGCCAGAGAACCGGAGGACTTTATAGTTTAGCTCATTTAAGTTGACCTACGTAAATATCTTCCACAAAATTAACCATACAAGCTGATAAACCTGACATAATGTATGCCAACATAAATAAGTTTCTGAATAAGTTGCTTTTTAAGTATTATTTTGTTTAAAAACTGTTTTTTACTGTTTGTGGTTACTGTACATTGTCCTTCAAGTCCAATGGTGTCTAATGTCAGTGCAGTGAGGTTAAAGGAACTCTAGTGTTTTTCATTATACCTGATATACTTCAAAGTAAGGGCCTTAGGTTTTAAAATAAAAACAAGAAAATGTGTGTGTGCTACCTGTAAAAGGCATAGTAGTAAAATTAAACCGTAGCTTGCTGGAGAAGCTAAGTAATTTCAGTATGAATCACACGGGCATGATAGTCACTGGGGCTTTGCATTTCTTTATCGCTAACTGGCAGGCTGTTCATTTTCCAATTAGATTTTTCAAACAGGCAAATCAGCACACAGGAATAGTTCTTCACACAGCAGCAGGAAAAGAGAAAACAGACTTGAGACTGAATCCATTTATATGCTTTAATAGCTTTTCTTGGTTTGCTTACTTTATTCACGCTAGAAGTTTGGACTGAGTGAAAGGAGCCTCCCTTGCAGGGAGGGACACAAGATGAGACTCTTCCAGTTGTTGCTTGTGACCAAGAAAACCCTGAAGTGGATTCTGCTCCCCTTCTACAGTAGTTATTGCTGATCCTATGATCCACCTCCAACTCCTAACTCCATTCCAAGAAGCCTCGTTAGCAGTCCAGATTTTTGATACAGCTATTACTTAGTCTTTTATTTCTAAAACCTCCTTCGCCTGGCTTCTGAAACCATCTTGTGTTCTGGGACCTAAACTGAGTGTGGGTATTTTTCATCGTGCACCACTAATCTAACACACACAAAAGATACAAAATCCTGAGTTGTTAGTGATACTTAAGGACAAGCATATAGGAACATCACATGGAATCAGAACGCACTGTCGTCTATGCTCTTTTCCAGGTCAATACAGACTTGTGTCCCCGGCTGGGACCAAGTTTCTCATGTAAACAAGAGAAGGCAATTGAGAAAGTGAGGGCAGTGCTACTTTATACAAGAAAATGACATACAATACCCTGCAGAAACAGCAAAGTCAAAACTGTTTTATTTTACTTTACAGTACAGCCATTTGTATTTTTGATGAGCCAACTTTGTATGCTAAATGATATAATATGCACTTTATTTGGAATAATTCCATGTATACACTTATTAGTCATATTAGAACACAAACATATTTTGTGTTCAACCCAAAAGTGTCAAGTGATCATATGTGTTGGGACACATTCATTTTTAAGTAATATCAGTAATAAGCTGCAATCCCTTTTGAGGCAATAATTACAGTACAATACTTTTTTGACCTGTTAAACTCACCATTCTGTAGTCTTTGTGTATGAAAACAAATGCTGACTTTTACATTTTGAAATGTAAATGCTTCCTAAAACTTATACTCACCTGAAAAGCAAAAATAAGTTGTTTTTTGACTTTGCTATCACAATGCTTTTGGAGGGCACTGTGTAACATGGGTAAAATACACCCAAATTTTACCTCAAAATATTAATGGGTTTCTAATGCGATGGACTTGGTAGCATAAATATTAGACATCTTGCACAAACATCTACAATCCTTTCTCTTTGCTCTTTGTTACCATGGTGATCTGCTGTACCTGGGCTGGACAGTGGCGGTCTTGTCTTAGTTGTTGATGTGTTGGGAAGCATGATGGAGTGGCAGTTAGCGCCGCTGCCTCACATTTCCACATTCAGGACAGGTCTCCATCCTCCATCTCTGTGGAGTCTGCATGTTCCCTTCATATTAGCATGGGCTCTTCTTGGGTGCTCTGGTTTCTTTCCACTTTCCAAAGACACATTCACTAGGATCAAGTGAGTGTTCTAGATTGTCCATTTCTCCATACCCTGTGTTGGCATCCCATCCAGTTGGAGTGCAGTGATACCTACCTTCAGGTCTGCCTTGATCCCTACATTTCTGGGACAGGCCCTGACTTGCTGTAAGCCTCATCAAGATTTATGTTTTGGGGTTTGTCCTGGTCTGGCTTAATACATACCGAAAAAAGTACCATATATCTAGGCAGGGTTACATATACTGTTGTATTAACGTCTATTGACATCCCTTGCTTCTGAATCCCAATTATGTATAAAGAACATTTTGCTTTTAAATAGTTCCTATCATACAAAATGCCTTTTGACCACCATGAATGTGCTGGTGAGATTCTCTGATAAAAATCCTTTGCAACACATTTTCAGAATGCTTCTGAAAAAACAGCACAAGAAGAAGCCTTCCCATGGCTCATTTGAATTTCCACCTCATGTGTCTGCCCTCAGGTGAAAATAGGGTCTTCCAGCGCAGAACAGATTGAGCTCTCGAAACCGCAGATGAAATAGGAAAATTCTTTCATCCTACTTTAGCAAAATGACTAAAACAGAATAAAAAAAAACATCACATGGAAACTGTATGGGTTCCTCCATACAAATACAATAATGGTTTGCTTTTTTGCCTTTTACATATTTTAAACTAGGGATTTCTTCACAAAAAAAGAAATCGTTTTTTGAGGTGCAGATTTTGTTCTGTTCTTTGTGTGGACAATACGTTTAGTCGAGGGTTAGCATTACATTATAAATTAGCTACAGTACCAAAGTAAAACAGCTACAGTAGCCTCAGATACAAAAGCAACATCTTCATTGAAGAATATGAAGCTTTCTGAACTCAATTTTCTCTGATTTTTACCACCATTCATAGGCCTCAAAAGATATAATAAAATTAAAATATAATCAGCTTTACAATAACTCAATTAAGCCAGATTGAATAAATAAATGGATTTTTGAATTTACAGAAAGAAATGGAATCTTGGTTGTCTTCTTTTGCAGCATGAGCACATTTAAAACTCAACCTTGAAAGCTTCTTAACACATGTATATTTAATTAAAGCTGAAAACAGTTCACAATTCACAATTCACAAATCTATCCACTCCATGTCATTGCTTTCAAGTAAAAAGTTATTTCCACAGCCAAAGAAAGATGGAATCTCTTTTCAGACTTTCTAAAGGACATTGAACAATGGAGCAACTATTTTGTAAACAAACAAAAGCCAAGTAAGGGTAATTTACCAATAAGGGACTTGAATTATAGGGTGTTTATATTGCATACAGCAATATACCATGTTGCTGCTTTGCATTTAATGAGCTTTTCAGCAAAATACAATTTTATTGCTATATCACTAAAGAATTTCAGAATCACAAACATATCATATCATATTGCCTTAGTTCCATAGAGTTTTCTGGATGCCTGAATAAACTAAAATTAGAATTCTTTGTTATTATTTCAGGGACAGCAGAGAGGAGTAGTGGTTAGGGCTCTAGATAAAGAAGTGGAGGGTCATAGATTCATGAGTGGGTAGCTCCATTTGTAGCCTTACTCAGTGTACTTCACAGACAATCACAATAATTGCCATGCTGTATAAATGGTTAAATCTCTCGGCAATCATTTGTAAATGAGAATTTATTCTCAAACAGACTATCCAGATGAAAAGCGAGATGTAAAATAAAAATAACTATTGTGCAGGTAATCATAATTACAAATTATGTGCATGTGATAAGGCACCAAGAATGGTGGCACTTTAGTCAGGGAGATGAGACCTGTGTTCAAGAATTCCTGTGTTCTGTTCACCACTGGAAGAGTTATCGCAGCTGAATGTTGGACTCACTCAGTGTAGAACCCCTATGTGTATTTGAACCCTGTGCCTTTCCTGGTGTGCATATACAGTGCTGTGAAAAAGTAAGTACACCCCAATAAAAGGTGTGTGTTTTTCAACATATTTGCATGTATGGATATGTGATCTTCATTTCACAATATTGATAAATAAAGGTGATCTAATTTAACAAAAAACAATCAAAATTATTCTTTGCAATCATTTATTCAACATAAAAAAGTCAGAAATGCAATTGCCTACTGTGGAAAAAATAAGTACACACCCTAGCTTCAGCAGCTGGTGTTGCCCCCTTTAGCAGAAATCACTTTCTTGTAATTGTCTGTTAGTCTTCTTCATCGACTTGGAGAAATGTTTTCCTACTCCTCCTTACAGAACTCCTTCAACTGTTTGAACTGTTTGAATAAACTTGATGTTTCGCTTCAAGTCCCACCACAGTATTTCTATGGGGTTAAGATCTGGGCTTTGACTTGGCCATTCCATAACCCTCCATTCTTCTTTTTGAGCCGTTCTTTTGTGGATTTTCTTGAGTGTTTCGGGTCATTGTCTTGTTGCAAGGTCCATTTATGGTTCAGCTTCAGCTTTTTGACAGATGGCCTCACATTCTCCTCGGGTACTCTCTGGTACAATGTGGAATTCCTGGTTGACTCTATGATGGGAAGCTGGCCAGGCCCTGAGGCAGCCCCAAACCATTATGCTTTCACCACCATGCTTTACAGGTCGTATGAGGTTCTTTTGTTCAAAGGCAGTTTTTGGTTTTCACCAGACATGACGTCTGCCCAAACAGCTCTACCTTTGTCTCATCCATCCAGAGCACATTGTTCCAATAGTTCGGATTTTCACCTAGGTGTTGTCTGACTAACTTCAGTTGTGCATCTTTATTCTTTTTTGAGACCTCTCATTTAGGGCAAACGTGCGCTGTCTCTTTCGGATGGTTGCCTCATGCACTTTGACATTGATTGAGGCAAGATTTGCCTGTGAATCCCTTGATGTTATCCTGGGGTTCTTGGAGACTTCCTCCAGCATCTTTTGTTCAGCTCTTTGAATTTGCTGAATTTGGTGAGACAATTTGGCCTGGATAGATTGCCAGTAGTTTGAAATTTTCTCCATTTGTAGATGATCTTTCGGACAATGGAGTGATTGACTACAAATTGCTTCTTCTTGAGGGTGCTCCAACCCTTTCCTATTTTAGTTCATTATGTGCACCTGTCCCTTGTTTTCCTTGTTATTATTTAAAGACTAGTGCTCCCACTATTCCCTGCTCTGCATTGGAAGATGGGCGCCCAGAAGCCCGCCTGCTAGCGGGTCCTGGGGAAACCCAACGGCATAGGCTTCGGCATAGGCTTCATCATGGCTTCCTGACCTGCTGAGTTTGGGGCTCGAAGAGCCTGGCCTCGTTACTGTTTTTATCCTCCTGGTTCACTGTCCCCGTTCCTGTTCCAGATCCCGTTCCGTTGTCTGTCTCGGATTGGATCTCCCGGCTCCTGGACCCTGGACTGCCCCCCGGTTTCCCCTTTGGACTAACTTAGGACTTATTCACCTGCGCCACCCCCCCTGAGCACCCGATCACAGCCGTCACGCCCCCCTGTCTGTCATCCCGTCCTGCTCCTAGTGTGTTTCCCTTGAAGTATTATTCCAGTCAATTCTGGATTATATTGTCTGCATAGGGTCCAAAATACACACTACTCGGTAGTCAGGACCAGCTCCTGTGACAGAAATAGGCATCAACAATCTTTCTTCTGAGGCCCTCAGAGAGCTGTTTGCTGTTTGTGGCACGATGTAGCCACACACCTCAATTGCTAAGACCAAACCAGACCACAGGTTTCTGATGTTTATATAAGGCAGCGCCCTCAAGTTACTCTCTTTTGATGTTCTAATCATTTGCCCCTGTTTTGGTGCACCTGATTCTAATTTTAGGCATTTGATGCAATGATTAAGGTAGGGGTGTACTTACTTTTTCCGAACAAGAAAATTGGATTTCTGTTGATTTAAATAGTACCAATGAGTGCAAAATGGGATTTTTAAATGTTATTTTTTTTAATTAGATCACCTTTATCTATCAGTATTGTTGAAATGACAATCAAATATCCTTTTGTCCAAAAATGTAAAAAGAGACAATCGTTTTCATGGGGTGTACTTACTTTTTCACACCACTGTGTATCAAGATGTTTAATGTCCGCAGTGACTGATGATTTTTAAAGCAATTCTCAAGTTAAAGACCACTTGAGAAGTTGTTTGTGAAGGTGGCTTCTGAGTGGCTTGACCGGTAAGGACACTTATTTGTAGTCAGGTTCAAGTCTGGATCATGTCATTATCTGACTATGACTGGGAGGCCCCACACAGCACCAGGTACCTTCAGAGTATCTGCAGCCTGCTCTGAGCTTGCAGTGGTGTCAGTGAGAGCTGCACCTGTCTTCATGTTGTTGCTAATTCTGCTGTGGGAAGTATGGAACTCACTGTGCGAAGGATGGCAGATGGCTCTGGGAGTGCACCGTTCAGAGGAGAATGGACACAGTCCTCATCTCTGCAGGTGGTACAAAGGTCGTGGCAGCAAAACAGAACTGAGCAACAAATGTCATATTGTATGGGTGTATAAAATGGAAAGTAGTTGGCGAATCCCTTTTTTTGTTACATGAACTATGAAATATTTTTTTATGAAATGAAATGCTGTGTACTCTCATCCAATATCATCCATCACTTACCTTTCTCCACCCTCAGATTCGTGAGTTGGTCCCAGAATCCCAGGCCTATATGGATCTCCTGGCATTTGAGCGCAAACTGGACCAAACCATCATGCGAAAGCGGGTGGATATTCAGGAAGCTCTGAAGAGACCTATGAAGGTACGGCTCCTGTTTCCCTCCATCTCATCCACTTCTGGCCAGTCACTGGTAAAAGCAGGTCAGGTCTACTTGACAAGTTCCTCATTAGTTTCCAAGTGAAATGCAGGGAGAGTTATGAAGCCTGGGGACAGCAAATGAGAATGCTGCTTGTCAATGAGGGATATGCCGCTGTGCTCCCTGAGCCAAAGTAATGAAATCAATCATTTCAGGCATGGTACTCAAATCCACATTAAGCACCACTAGTACAGATGCACACTTCAAAAAGGAGAAGCCAGACTCCAGAGCTGTAAACAGACTGGATGGCTAAATATATTTAAAAAACCATTGTATTAGACAGTTTTTTAATTAACTCTGTGTTTTTGTGCTTTACCTACAGTATCACCAGTTTGTTCAGGGATGTATTGCTGTATTCAGAATTTTGAGAATCTTGGCAGTGTTAAGGGTTCTAAATGTCAGTCAGAGCTAAGGTTTCTTTTTTAGGGAGTTACCAAAGAGTGCTTTCCTGTACCTCCTGTGGTTTTGCAGGCAACAGCAGCTCTAAGTATCATCAGTGAGAGCTGTGTCTAACTTCAGGTTGGCACAGGCACGTGGTTCAAGGCAGGAAAATGGGAGAGCAGATTTGTATTACACTGTAGATGAAGAAGTCCCTGTCTTTATTCACAGCAAAAGCGCAAGCTGAGACTGTACATCTCAAACACCTTCAACCCTGCCAAGCCAGATGCTGATGACTCCGATGGCAGCATTGCATCGTGGGAGCTGCGAGTGGAGGGGAAGTTACTGGATGATGTGAGCTGCTTATCCTGTTAGCCTGGCTGTCTTTCCATCTTTCTTTCCTGTTTATTGTTTTTTCTGTCTTTTAAAGTGTCTGTGAGTCTTTCTTCTGGATGCAAATGTACTTTTTTCTTTTCTTTTAAATTCACTCTTTTAGCTTAAGTATCTTTGTGAATGTTTTTCTTTTTTTAGTCTGTAGCTCTATGAGGTCTTTCGGGTATACTGCTGTTGTATATTGACTTATTCCATAACTATTTACATTTGATTAGAAAGTCATCAGGGAAAGAAGTCCATATGCTTCTTCTATAAATCATTATAGCTGAATCACGTGTGACAAAGTGAGACATCACATAGAAAGCAAAATGTTTTGTGCTTCTAAAAATGATATGCAGGAGTTGAGTGACTTCATTTGTTATCTACAGTGTTGATTAAAAAAACTTTAACTGTGGTAGAGGTCAGGTCTGACAGCTGAGTAAGATGAGAAGAAAATAATTTCTTAACAAGACTGTTGCAACGTCTGCTTTAAATATTAGATGGAAGATACAATTTCAAGTTATAATGGACTTTTTCATCCTGCTTTGGGTCCATTGTCTGCAGAATTAGGCTTCCTAGGTGCAGGTTATCAAAAATGAATGGTTGAAAGTAGTTCATTGAGCTCTTATGTACTTTATACTCCCTATTATCAGTCTGAGTAATATGCTACAATATTATTAGAAATAATATCCTTTACGTTTAATTGCACAGTGAAGTGCATACTCTCTTAGATGTGTCTTTTTGAAATGTAAAGACAGAATGTATTGAAAAATACCTTAAGCTACCTTTTTATGTAAATATATATTATTCCAGTAAAAAAAAAATTTAATCGTGTCAAATTATACATACATATATGGTTTCTAAACTCTTCCATCTGACCACAGAGGTAGCTTCATTTCAGTTTCAGACTGTGCTTCTGTGAAACTCATTGAAGATATTTTAGATGTGACAAAGACCTCCAAAGAACACACAGCACTGTGAATGTGGTGCTGTTCACAGGTCTGATATAAGCAGTGAAAGAGCCAACAGTAGTGTCTAAGGGAGAGAAAATGAAAGGGTCATTTGCTTGTTCACCACATAGTTTTGGCGCCACACCATGTTGGCATGGCGATGATGGATGCAATTCTCCTTGAGGTATTTTGCTGTAGATGTGCACAACTTGTTTGTCCTAGTGAATATTCACTTCTGCCAGCTCTTCTGGCTTCATGTGGAGGCATTTCAAGATCTGTTCTTTAAGCAAATCTAAAAGCAAACTAGAATCAACTTAAAAACACACACAAGGTTGATGCAGCATATAGTATTCAGTTTATTCCAACTATGACCCAACAGATTTTAAATCAATTTTCCAAACATTGTTTGTAGTCATAAAATTGGGTTGGTTTTTGATGGTTATCTGATTAACAAGCAGTTAGCTATCCTAAGCAAATAAGGTTATTTTATAATTAAAATGTAGGGTTCCCTATTATTGACGTTGTGGTTGGCATCACAGTAAGTTAATGGTGTTTCTAAATCATTTAGTGGCTCAGTGCTTTATTAACTAAAAGATCCATTAAAAAAATTGCCAGTATTTGCCATTGGGACAGCATGTGCAGGAAGTGAGACTGAGCAGCCTGAGGACATGTTTGATAAAAATTTCCTTGAGCTGCATGTCAGACATATAACAGCATTGCTAGGGCTTGTCTTACCAGCTTTTCATAACCACAGAGTTACATGATCTGCTGCAGATCCAGTTGAGTCTTCATTGTCATGTTCAAGATCAGATAAGAGAATGAAACTGAGGATGAGTTGATGTTCTGCAGTGGAATATAACAGAAATGCCTAGACTGTCTAGACCTTGTATAAGATGAGTAAAATAATCCAATAAATCATTTTACCAAGTTTCTAACCTGGTTAGTTGGACAGCCCTGTTTAGCCTACTCATTCCAACATGAATAACCAGATAGAAGCCTGCTGGGATTAGGCATTGAATCCATACATTCAAGTCCCTGCTTCAGGGTTCATTAAAGCAAAATAGCCAGTTCGAAGGAGGCTCTCAATAGACATAATACAGGGCAGTAGGACTCTGACTGGCTGCTTGGTAGGTATGGAGCAGTTTCTGGGGCAGATAGTGTGTTGAGCTGTTTGATGGGCAAAGCAAGTATATGGAGATGTTGGTTGGGTCGCAAGTATGTAAGATTATAATCAGGAGAATTAACACTGAGGATGTGTGGAGAGGATTTGTAGTTGCATGTGGACTCGTTGGAGTGTGACGTTTCACTGTGGTTGCGGTGTGAAGATCTGTCAATAGCTTCAGTAAAGCCAGGGTCTCTGGGGTGTAATAGTAGGTTGCTCGTCTGTGTCAGGGCTATAGGGGATCATAGGGCTATGTGGGGTGTATTTGGAGTATTTGTTATGTGTTAGAGGATATACAGTTCTATTTGTGTTCTATAGAGAGCACCAGTGTAGTATTCAGCTCACTGTGCCTCTTGTGATTCCCCAGCCTGGTAAACAGAAGAGGAAGTTCTCATCCTTCTTTAAGAGCCTGGTGATTGAGCTCGACAAGGACTTGTATGGACCAGACAACCACCTGGTGGAGGTGAGACTCACAACCATCTTTGGCAGCCTGCCCCTTCCACGTCTCCATCTGTCTTTGTATCCATACGTCTCCATCTGTCTTTGTATCCATTCCTCCAGATGTTTGTCTCAGTCAAAAAGTTCAGTTTTCTGTCCACTAAAATTATTTATGTTTACACTTGCATTCTGATATTGTTCCATTAAGAGTCAGATGTACTTCCCTGTAACAGTACAATTACAGCTGTGAAATGGTAGGTGGTATATCTGCTGGGAGAAGAGCCTTCTGACACACATTGTGCCATTCAAAGACTCTCTGATGTTTTATCCATACATGGTGTGTGATCCCTCCAACTTGTAGAAAACAAAAATCTCACTAGTCATCACAAAAGCATCTAATAGAAAATACTGGTAGAAAAACTAAAAGTTAAACATAACTCTATGACATAGCTATGCTACAACATAGAGAAGAAACATATTTTTAAGTGCCTCAATGAAAGTGAAGGCAGCAATGTGTTGATGTTGCTTCTTGGCCTTCAGTGCCTCTTGGGAATTTTCTCCTCTGGTACCAGCATGTGTCCTGAGCATTTCCATTGCAAATATGCCAGCTGTGCCAGCCACATGTTCTCAAATTTTGAGTAGAGGATGTATTCCAAAATGTATTAGGTTGCAGAATTGTAGTGTAAACTATGAGAATATCAAGATAGACCTCCTTTCTGTCTGTTCTACAATATTTGTGCTTGTGTCAACACACCTATATAAGATCATTTAAATTCTGTTACACCAACATGGATGGTTTCTGGAATATTAAGGGACACTTGGACCTGTACTACAGATTTGGAAAATTGGCTTCATCACTTCTGCAGTATTAAAAGGGTTGTATCTGATCTGGTTTTAGTATATTTCGTAAGGGAGAACAAGATCTGATGTAAGTTACATAGTACCACTGAATCTTAATATATCAGGGCAGTTAAGGTGATAGACTGACTTCTTCATAACACTTTTAATCAGATTAGGCATAATTAAGGAAATGAGTTCTGCCTTTCCTATTGGTTGACTTCAGGGTTTGCTAAGTTTATTTACTTGTGCAATATATTACCACTTATAGTTTCTCCATAAAACGTTTTCCTAAGTTTTAAATATACTGCACAAGGAATCAATTATAGAAACCAAAGCTACAAGCTGCACTACATGAGGGTTTAATGCAAGAGCTCTATTCTCACATAAGTACATGATTTTCTTCCTCATAAAGTTTTAAAAAAATAAAAACAGCAACATTAGTTTTACCCATGTAGTGAAATATTTCTTAAAAAGATATAGGCTTCATACACAGAGCTTCCACACCCAGACCTAGAGCCCAGGGAGAAAGGCAGAGTATCGCTGCTCTGACGAAGGCCCCAGTGGTTGACTGGAGGTAATATCTTTGTGTCTGAGCAGGGCTGAGTGTACTTACCCACACAGACATCATGTCTGTTTGGGGTTTGGTTGGTGCTATTATAGCACACTGGTCTGTCATAATCACTGGTAAACTAATGACCGATCATCCTGAGGCAGTGTTTAAGGATTTCGGTACAAAGCACACAGCACAATTATGTTTATTCTCAGTATTCTGAGAAGAAGAAAAACACAACAAACCATAGAGAGGCCAGACTTTGCAAAGAAGCGTTTCAGTTTTGCTTCAGTGCTGTAGCACTGTAATGGTATGATGGGCACAGAATTGAGCTTTACTTAAGCTTTTACTTACCTTGTTCAGTTTTACTAGAGTAACTTAAAGGTAACCTATGAGTGAGGATGTAGAAGAAGAGAAAGGGGTACTGATGAAAGACTGTATTCGTATCTCAGACATGCCATGCAGGACATATGAACAGCACCAGCCTTTCAAACCAAAATCATCAGTTGACACCTCATATGTCATCATTTCCTTCATAGAACATTATTAAACTAATAGAGTGCAAAACAGAATTTGGAGAAGGTAGCTGCAACAGCATGCATAGGCTGCAAAAGAAGAGGTAAAGGTTTATTCCGTGCTGAAGGGAAAAAAAGAATAAAGTAAAAGAAAAGGAATCTGGAATCCTTTCAGCATGGAATAAACCCTTACCTGTTCCAAATCAGAATTTATCCAGTCTTAGAATTCTGTACAGGTAGTAAAGCATGTTTTGTTTTTTTATTTGACTTGCCTAAAGACAGTAGCTCCATGTTAAACTGAATTTTAAGATCATTAGATAATGTTGCCTTCCGAAAACTGAGTTCTGGCTAGCTTGTGACTTTACAGATGTATGGAATGACGATGTTAAAATCAAGTTAAAAGTCTCTGCTGTCTCAGACTTTAAACTAATAAATGACTTAGCAATTTTATAGTTAACCAGAAATGGTTTCAAATTAAACTGTTGATCAAGCTTTCTTTTTTAATCAATAGCATCTTCAGATAAAACACAATCTTCTAAACAAGTGATTTCTTCACTGTTGTGAATGGAAAATGTTTTTCATACCACTGTTTTCCTCACCCTACTATCTGTAAAGAATGTACTGTTTGAGGGATATATTACTGAACACAGTATATATCAATGATGTCTATTGTAATAGGATTTGTGGCTTGTAAATATTAACCTACTGTACAAGGGAATCAGTTTTTAATTTATCCTAAAGAACCATTAGTCTCTAGAAAGTCAGTGACAGACATTGCATGACGTTTGCAAGAGAAGCAGCTGTTAAGCTTTTAAGCTTAGGCTTTTTTTTGTTTTAAAAGTCACAATGTGTAACCGAGTGAAATCCATTAGAAAGAACTTCGGTTTTTCTTTTCAGTTGCTGAGCCGCAACAAAAAGGTAAGACTCAATCTCACAAACTGTTCACAAGCTGCTTCTTAAAGGTGTGTGTGTGTTGAGGGAGTGTGGGCATTGTCAGGTCTTATGGGCAGCTGGATCCTTTGCAAAAGACTGATAGAGGCTTCGAACAAACAGACTCAGAGCTTGAACCTTACATGAAAAATATGATATCAGTTCTACAGTGCCTTTGGTGGCCCTGAGTGGTCCTGGATGGACTATTTCTGGGTTATGAAATATGTTACACCTGTAACAGGAGGGAGCAGACTCAGTATTAAAACATACAAAGAATGTGCCACAGTCTGTACTGGTTTCTTTACAGTATGTTGATTCATTTTTAGTACACATGCATTAAAATGCTTTTGCTTAAGATTTAAGAATAATTGGGTATATTTAACTGACTTTATTTTTTAATTTTCCATGTTAATTTATATTCTATTTTTTTTGTTATTCTGAGTGCACCATGTTGCCATGGTACCTCAACAAGGTCTCTCACAATTGGAAATATGGTATCCTAGTAGGTTCACTTGGGTAGGACACTGTAACAGCATTACCTGATTCATCATGAGCACACAGGAGTGCTCCACCTGTCTGTAGCAACATGAAGTGTCAGTCTAAAGAAGACAGGCCTACAAACATAGTCAAACATAGAACTGCTGTCACACAGGATCAGTTGCAGGAGGACATTTATGGAAAAAGTTGCTCCTCTAGACCATCTTGTCTGCTGCATGATAATGACAGGCCTCAAGTGTTGTGGAAACTACTTTGGAAATGCTGCCAACTAAAGCTACAAGCAAAACCATAAAAAATGCAGTTAGTTACATATAAAATGTTCTCACTGAAAAAAGTAACTAGCTATACATAAAGCTATTTTAGAAATATTTTAAACATAGCTGATTTTGAATTATGTTAAATTTAAAGAAAATGCAGTATTTATATTCTAAGCAAAGTATTTTATATGCTGTATAACATACAGTATGTTGATGTGTCCTGAAAGTAAGATTTCAAAATGGGAAATTGAGGACTTATTTCATTTGGTATGAAAGATGTCATCAGCACTGAAGAGATTTACTATCTGTACTGGTAGACAGGCTTCATAAAATAAAAACCTGCTTAAGCACTGGTCAGGACATATTATCTGAAAGGATTAGAATCTGTCGGTTTCCTCAAGGCAAAAAATTAAGGCCTTATAGTTAAAACTGTTTTGTTGTTCTTTTTGATTTCAGTTTGGCATTCATCCTTCGCAACTCACACACTGATGCAGCTTGCCACTGACACCACAAATTAAATTGAACTTTTTCTAGGTGCAAAGTGATTCACGCAGGAAGTAGGAACACACATTGAGCATATCACACTGGTGACTTTGAGCTGCAGAAAGTTATGAATGAAAGTAACCTGGGTATTTAGGCAGATTTTTCTCTGTCCTCCTCAAGACAATGTGGGAAAGAATAAGAAATGGTAAAAAATAATATTTAGCAAAAGGTGTGGAATTTAAATCAAGGGATGTTAAGCTGAAGTTTTTGAATTCACTATTAAGAACACATTTTGAATATTGATTTTAGTTTTGGTCACCACAAAAAGGATATTCTTGACAAGAACGATTCCTGACTTGGAGGGTTGGTTTATGATGAGTTAAAGAGATCAATATCTTCAGTCTGGAGCAATGGAAATTTAATCAAAGGGTATGCAAGTTTAAGGGTGTAGTAGAAATTAGAAAGCACTCTGAGGTCTAAACTCTAGGCACCCTCAAAAAAAGGATAACATTTTGGAATCAGTTATTAAACAACCAACAATACAAATGGCTGCCTCCTCTCATTTGCAAAATGTATGGTCTAAAATGACTTTCCATGTGGTTTCTCTATAGAAACTTTTCACGCGGTCTGTACCACCATCGGTATGAACATACTGTTTTTATACTGCAATTTGTGTTAATATATGTGTGTAAAACACTTGTTCGTTTTAGGAGAAGTTTTACATTTCTGATTTTTTAACTGACCTTTGAAATGTCAGTTTGATCAATTATTTCATTTCAGATGTTTCTGATCTCCAAATTGCTAATTCTACATTCTCTCATCCTAGCATTAATCCCGCATCAGCAGGGTCCGCTTGTCGGCCTGCCCGTCTCCATTTGGTGGTTTAAACCAAATTTTTGAGCTGACGTTGCCATTAAATGCGACCGGGGAAAAAAAAACGGAGGGGGGGGGAGAACATAGTAATGTAGCCAATTCACAGAGGGGGATTATTAGGAGGCATGGGGAATTTGGCCAGGACGCTGGGGTTACACCCCTTCTCTTTTAGAGAAACACCCTGGGATTTTTAATGACCACAGAGAGTCAGGACCTCAGTTTTACATCTCATCCGAAGGATGGTGCCTGTTTACAGTATAGTGTCCCCATCACTATACTGGGGCATTAGGACCCACATGGACCGCAGGGTGAAATTGCTAACTCTACATTAAACAACCCATATAACCTTTTCATTAAAATAGAAAAAAAATAAGAGTAACTAGGGCTGTAGCTAGAGCTAAAGCATGCACACTGATCAATATTATATTCTTACCCTGATGTCATTAGAAGAGCAGCAGAATACCCTGAGTAGATATGATTTAGAATTTGTGCCCAGATCTTACATACTGCACATGTTTGTCAAGTTGACCATGAAATGTGCTGCAGGAAGTGTTAGGGTTTAAGAAAATAATAAATTCAACCTATGCCAAATGTGTCGCAACTCTTCCAGCTCATTTGAGCTGTTTCTCCCATAATTGGTATTGTTTCTATCAGTGATTCACACTTTTCATATAGATGGGAGATATCCTACAAAGTTACCAAATTAAAGAATTCAAGATTTCTGATTCTGAAGCAGACTATGTGATTGATGTGCAGAAAAAAACAACATTTCAGTAAAATGCATTTCTGTTGGAAGTAAAAAGACAAATGGAGACTTCTGGATTTACATTAAAATGGACTGTAATGGATGAATAATAGCATTCCTGCCTATAAATTGCCTTGGCCTAGTAGTATAATAGTAATTCCATCACTTATATAACACTTTTCTGGACACTCCACCACCACCAATATGCAGTACCCACCTAGATGATGGAATGGCTGCCAAAGTACACCAGAACACTCACCACACATCAGCTATTAGTGGGGAGGAAAACAGAGTGATCATCTATGTGGCCATAACTGGTAAAGGCCAGGGGGGAAATTTAACCAGGTTGCCAGGGTAACACCCTTTTATATGTACCTTTCATTACATATATACTGTATGTGCGCCTTTCTCCCTAAGTATGGAGAAAACCCTAAAACAATGTACAAATAAGACTGAGAGATTTCATTATGAATCTGGTATACTTCATTATGGATTGATATAGCTGTATTGAAGAAGGATTGGGAGTTCAGTGCACGCTTAATGTGATCTGGGTTGAATGATGATGTTTGTGCGGAAAATAACACAGTTGAGTTGTACTGCAACTACAAAAATACATCTGGTAAAAAAGTGGTAGGAGGTGCTAACTCGAAAGTTGTAGTTCTCTACTTTGAAATTAAAATAGTTCGCTAGAGCAAAGCTACTGAAAAAAGCAGCTCACTCTGTTCGTGTTGCTGCGTTTAGCAGGTTACAACCCAGCACTGCAGAGCACACAGTGCCACCTGCACCAATGAGTATTTAAAGTGCTACCGGTGTGGTAGGGATGTGTGAGTCCCCACAGCCCTAACCTGGCAATAAATAATTTCCTTAGAGTCACAGGTGTCTGGCAGCTGATTCAAATGTGGTGTTTCTTTGTCATGGTGAGACAAGTAAGTGAGCAGATTGGGAGCCAATATAGATAATTATATTTGCCATATCATTGGTAAAAGATCCCATGGCGCTTTTTTTTTAAAGAGTAAGAATGCTAATCCCGGTTAATTGTCGTAATTCTGCTCTGAGCTTCTTCAAACCGGCCTTCCTAAAGTTTCCCCTTCATTTAAATTACACAAGCAATGTGCCATTAATCATTGCTCCTCCTGATCTACTGTGTAGTAGGGCTGGCTGGCACATGATGGCAGCTGTATGTCACCCTTATGGCTGTTGTAGCTGAGTGATAGATAAAGTGGGTCCCCTCCAATATAAAAGCGAGGAATAATTATTCCTTTATCTATATATGAATAAATGCCTTGCTGTGAGAACCCATTATTACCAAGTTAATTGAGAAACTCTTATATTGCTTATGATTAAGTGGTACATTTCCCGATCTCTTCCTTAAAACCTGTCTGCGTGGTTAGGGTTGAAAGATCATGAATTCCATCAAAACAAAGATTCAAGGTACAAATCTGAGAGATGTAAACCATTACAGTACTGTCCAGACACTGACAAAAACAAAGGTCTAATGAAATGATAGAAATAATAGGAAACAAACCAAGCAGGAGCTCTTCTGGCCTCACTGTGAGGATACCATCTTGTGACTTTTAAGCAACAATATGAAGTTGGGCAAGTGGTGGTGAGGATCTTGTCTGTGGGCAAAAAACATATTACTACAGTATTTCTATCCCAAATTATAATAATATCAATAAGTATGATAGGGTAGGTATGGAATATATTTTAATTGCCTTGGCATTTTCAAATTGCTTAGCTACAGAATAATTTGAAACATCTCATAGTCCTTTTTGAATAAATGAATATAAATAGTTCTATTTAATGGCATATCTTTAAAGTCTCTCAGAACCCTCTCTAATTTTCTGATTCATTATTTTGTTTGACTCTTTTGGTTTTCCAAGTTTCTAAAAAGGCAGTTTCAGCCATTGTGCAGCAGTCCCATGGTGTACTAGAGAAAGTCATGAATGTCATGTTAAAATCTGCCCCCAGGTTTACCCTAATCTGAATTTCCCTTTTTCTCACTTAAATACACCGGATTGCTGCTGGTTTCCTGCTGGGATGGTCTATATAACAGTATGGCAAGGTTTGTTGGTGTTATGATTACCTTTCACCTCACTGCCTCGACTGCAAAACTGATCGCTTTCTGAGATTTTCATTTTTAACCAAGATGTAGTTAATTAAGTGTGATAACGCGACATCATATTAATTGTTGGAAGAAATGTACAGAGGCTGTTATTGATGAAGCTGTCTTTGAATCGAGAACTGATAATGTACTTTCCTCGAGAGCAATTCAAAGGGCGAAAAAAAGGGTTTTGAAGGTCTCTGCCTGTTAATGGATATTAATTTCATTACATGGCAAAGCGGTCTGAACAATGTCATCTCTCAGTATGTGAAAAAACGTAGCAGGAGCACATACCTGTTTCCCCAGGTTATTCCATCAAATCCTTTCCAAATGAGGTTCAGTCTCAGCCTCACCCAGGGCCTGTTCTCAGAGATCATATAGTTCAGTTTCACAAACACAAGAGGGGCTTGAAAGAAAGATGTGCGCTCTGTCTGCAAAAAAATAAAAGATTTAAGGAGCACACTTTACTAAGACAATTACGGCAGTTACCTTTCCAGTCTGACCTGTGACTGATTGAAGAGGAATGTTGTGTTCTTTGAAGAATGAATGAGGATTTTTTTATTTTATTTCTTGTGAGAAAGAATATGCCACAGTACTTTTGTTGCCACCAGCCTGATTTCTCAAGGCATGCTGTGAAGAACGCAGGTGTTTTGCAGACACACTTGTGCGTGAAGCGAATGGGTGATGCTGGGTAAGGAAAGAGATCGGGAAGAGTGAGGATGACCCAGGGAATGAAGGCTGCAGAGTAACGGGCTCCAATGCAGTTTCCCTTTAAGGCACGGATGTGTCTGTGTGTTGTGTCTTGGCAGTGGCACCGCACCCCTACCACGCAGGAGACAGATGGCTTCCAGGTGAAGCGGCCGGGAGATGTGAGCGTGCGCTGCACTCTGCTGCTGATGCTTGACTACCAGGTAAGGGCGCTGTTGAGCTACACAGGCTGGTGGGCGGCTGAGCTTCAATAAGTAATATGTTAATAGAGGGAAAGTGAGGCTCCCGATGATCAGTAAAAATCAGGCTGTCCAAGATACCACAACTGCCTGTCAGCTGACTGTATCACATGAAGCAACTGTTGCTTTTGAGGTTTTATTGTTTAACATAGAGATGCACAGTTATAATGTGGCTTTTCATCAGAATTCTTAGTAACCGGAGAAATAGTTGTCTGGCACTGCAGCTAGTAGTTTAGCTTTACTTTATTGGTAAATTGTGGTAAACTTCAGGTGGGATGAAGTGGTGCCCTTGTGAGCCTTTCCTTGCCCTGTCTTGCCGTCATCTTAAAATGAACGTTTTTTGCAATCCAAACAGAAAATTATAATCCCTCAAATGTTTTGGAGTGGTTCGATTTCCCCCAGGTTCAGAATAAAGATTCATCTTTGTTTTAGTAAGTACTGCTGTGGGGAGCTAACCTGTTCCTTCCCCTAGCCCCCCCAGTTCAAACTGGACCCCAGGTTGGCACGGTTACTGGGCATCCATACACAGACCCGCTCTGCCATCATCCAGGCACTCTGGCAGTATGTCAAGACCAACAAGCTGCAGGATGCCCACGACAAGGAGTATATCAACTGTGACAAGTACTTCCAGCAGGTATTCCTCTTCTTTTTCTTCTTCCTCTTCCTGTCCTACTCTTCATTGTCACTCATCTGGCTGAAGACTTTATCCAAGCTGAGTTACAAGGTAACTGTCCCTCCTCCCCATTCAAGTGCCCTTATTTCACCCAGGGGAGATAAAGTGCACAATGCGGCCTTTTCTAATCAAATTTACTTTTGCTTGTTTCAAAAAGTCTTCCGTTTTGTTTTTTTTTCCCTGTTGTCTGCATATACTCTATAGTTACCTGAATGTACTCAAACATTTAAACATCAGCTTGTCATTGGTGAACTCTTCTGCTGTCTGCTTTTTTCCCCAGTTTGTTTTCTGATGGTGTGCCTCTTTCATCAGCCATTTGTTTTATACCCTTCAATACCTCAACTCTCTGACCCATCACCTAATTCCTGCAAACTGTGTTTTGAGTCTTCGTTGTTTTTTTCTCTTTTGCTGAGATAACCTTTTGTCACGATTTTGCTTATGCTTCCATTTTCTGTTTTGACCTGTGTTCAGATTAAAGACCATTCCCCTCACATTATACTCATGCTGTCTTTGATGCTGAGCCGCCTCAAATTTCACACTGTGCTGACTTTTTATTCTCAGGCATTTCTGCTATTTAGAAGGAAAGCTTTTACAGTTTTGTGCTCGTGTTTCAATTTCAATCAGTTATCAAATTACCTTATATCTGTAATACCAGAAAATGTACCAGCTCAGGGGTTCTTAACCTTTCAGTAGGAGAGTGTCAAGAGTTAGTTCATACAACTGTAATTCAGTGAGCTGCATTTCAAAATCCTCAACACACATCCACTGGAACAGTGTCAAATCCATTTTCTTGGTATTAGTTTTTATCAGGTTTTATCAGAAAAGGTAAACATCAGGCCCACATTTTAGTGTGGATGGATCTTCTATGGAAACGAGGTGTTGTCTTTAATGTTTAAGGTCATTTATAATATTCACTTGTTTTATCTGGATCAATTCTTAAACAACTTAATTCACTCATAAAAAATACAGTTCTCACGTTATAAACCATCCGTCTCTACTACTGCAACATTAACTTTATTTAGTGAACTAAGTACTCCTTATTTGAGCTTAGAGTTTATTTTCCTGATAGATTTACATTTAGATATGAAAAAATCTGAGAGCATTTAAAATAGTTAAAAAGGCAGTATGATTCATTCAAATTATAATTGGATTACCAGAATTGGTTCACCAGATACAGTAAGTCTTGTTTGACATCACATTCACTTTGCTACTGACAAATGCCACTTGACTGTATTTCATAAGGATCTTAGTGATAATTGTTTTACAGCCTGTGTTAGAAGGTTGAAAGAGAATCCTCCCCTCTGGTTTTATCCAAAAAGAATTTAAACAGCCTTTTCTGCATGATCTGGTTTTCATGTTTTTTTTTCGGTATCCATCAGCTGAAAATGACATTTTTTAAAGACTGTTTTAGCACTTCTGCACTTCTGTATCACTCACTATAAATAACTAGCTCAGGCCTTTACCCCAACAACACATCTAGACCCACTTTGCCATCTGTAATGGCCAATATGCAGCTCATTTTCAATAGAGCTATGTCTTCTGCTAAACAATTAAAAAAAATAAACTTTAAAAAAATAATTAAATAATTAAAAAATACATTTTTACTATATACAAATACATACATAAATGCTTGTCAATGAACAAAAAAATCCAAAGCCTCTTTTCATACAACAGTTACAGCTATTCACAGTTAATAAATACCTAGGCATTTAGCTGGAGGGTCTTTAACTTTAACTCATATTAATACATTCTAAGCTAATATCAAGTCTAAGCTTGGTTTACTTTACTGCAACAAGTGTTGTTTTAGACATTTTTCTAGACAGATACTGGTTCTGATGTCCAAACTCCCCATACTGGACAGTGATCGTGTGGCTTACAGAATGACTTCTAAAGCTTCTGTACTTCATATCTTACATCTTTCTTCCATGAGGTTTACTGGTGCCCTCTATGGTACTCATCACTGTGATCTTTAGTCATTGATTGACTGTCCCTCTTTACATACAGTGCCAGACAAATGCTTCACTGGCTCACATTTAATTTACACATTGATTGTTGTGAAATCACCATTGCCACAGATTACAAAAAGCAGTACTTTTATACAAGGGTAACTGCC